AGAGAGACAGAGAGAGACAGAGAGAGACAGAGAGAGAGACAGAGAGAGACAGAGAGAGAGACTAAAGTAAAAAAAATATATATATAACTAACATTACATGTGTCTTACAAATTCAATACGACTGGGGCTTTTCTTCAGTTTACCCTCTTTGGTTGAAAAAAAACAAAAACTAAAAAATAACCTCAACTTTAACATCAAAACAAAATAGAGAAACTACGAAAAGCAAATCTTTTCACAAAAACCGCCAGGGCTTTTGATTAGTTCTCAGTGAAGAGAAGACATAATAACTTAAAGGACAATGGGAAACTTTGGGTCATTGCTTGTACATTGATATAATTTGAAAAGTTGGAATTCATAGGTTATGTAACAAGAGAAGTTCATGTTTAGTGCATTGTATCTTATGTTCTGTTATATTAAGTTATATATGTATAACAAAAAGATGTTCGTGCCAAATACAGTGTGTAGGCCTATCTATGTTCTGTTGTAACAAAGACGTAGGTGGTTGGTGGATGCTCTGGCGTGGTTTGCTCCTTCTTTCCTATCAAAGGCCTTGATCTGTCCTCCTTTTCTTTGAATGTTACTCTCAATCTAATCTTTGGCACCAGAATGACCAGTTCGTGTTGCAAGTGTTTCGTGAAACTCCTACTAAAACTGTAATGTCTAAGAAAGAGGAATACAAGCTATACACAACCACACCAGAAATCAAAACATTACAATACAAATATAATTAATTACTTAGCAACTCCCATACGCCACATCTCTATTTCCAATATATTCCAATATTTGGACATGTTCTCCATTTTTTATGCAAAAGAGCCAGGTGTTTACGTATTTGTCCCTACTTCCGTTACCCACAAGCACACAGTACCCCCTCCCTTTTTATCCATGGTCTCCTACACTAATTCCCTGGCAGAGCATCAGTTTTTATTTTCTCTATTCTTTAATTCAGGAGAGAGGACATCAACTGGTTTGGGGTTTTTTCTCTAGTCTTTTGTTCAGGGAATCGCAAGAACCGGTTTGTTTTGGTTGGGTTTTTTTTTTCAATGCTTTGTTGAGGGGACAGCATCAATTTGTATTTTCCCCATACGCTCTTGATGATGGGAGAGCATAAATGCTTATATTCTCTATTCTTTTGTTCAGGGGAGGGCATCAATTCTTATTTCCTCTCTGCTTTTGTTCATGGAACAGCATCAATTCTTATTTTCTCTATGCTTTTGCTCAGGGGGGAGCATAAACTGTTTTCTTTTCCCTCTCTTTGCCATTGTAGGGGTTGGGTGGGGGGGGGGGGCATCAGTTCTTATTTTCTCTTTGCCATTGTTGAGGGGAGAATATCAATTCTTATTTTTTCTATGCTTTTGCTCAGGGAAAAGGGGGGTAGGGGAGAGCATTAATTCTTACTTTCTCTATTCTTTGGTACAAGGGAGCGCATCAACTGATTTTTTTAAAAATCAAAACTATTGGTGAGTGTAAAGCATCAACTGGTTTGTTGTTGTTTTGGGTTTGTTTTGTTTTTTGTCTCTATTCTTTTGTTTAGAAAATGGAAAGAACTGTTGTTGTTTTTTTTCCTCTATGCTTTTGTCGAGGGGGAAGTATCAACTGTTTGCTTTTTTTCCTCTATGCCATTTTAGATGGAGACAGCATCAACTCTTATTTTCTCTATGCCTTTGTTAAGGGGAGAGCACTAGTCCGCCAGCCCCGTCTTGCCCACCACCACGAGCGCCACCAGCACAGAGGTCAGTGCACTGACCACCATCAGGTGAAGGACAAGGACAAATTTCTTGAGGACATCAACGCTCTGAAAAGAGAAGAAGAAGAAAAAACATGTTTTAGTAGAGGTTTTACGGTGCTCGCAACTGCATAAGGTCATATGAGCGCCAGAAGATCAGAGGTGTTACAAGTGGAGTAACAAACATAAAAAAGAAGGAGGGGAGATAAAGACGATAGATGTTTGATAGGAAAGAAGGAGCAAACCACACCAGAGCACCCGCCAACCACCCATAAGAAAAGAAAACAATTTAAAGTTGCAGTTTATCTTTTATCGGCATGAATTTCTTTCCTTCCAGTCTTCCCTTCTTACTTCCTTCTTTCCTTTCTTTCCTTCTTCCTTCCTTCCGACTATTCATCCACTCATCCATCTACACATACATTGTGTTTCCTTTTCTTCTTTCATTCAGTCTGTCAATCCAGCAATCTGTGTTTGTTTCCATCCTTTTTTCCTTCTTTCGCCCCATTCACCTATTCATATATCCATTATTTCTTTCCTACCTTTTTTTCTTGCTTCTTTCCTTCTACCACCTATCCTTTCTTCCTTCCTTCCTTCTTTTCATCAGTTTATTTACCCTCCTATCCGTCTATTTATCCATTCCTTCCATCTGCCCATTCGCCCGCCCCACCCCTTTCTGTCACTCTGTCAGTGTGTCTGTCAGTATGTCAGTCTGTCAGTATGTCAGTCTGTCAGTCTGTCTGTCAGGCTGTCTGTCTGTCTCTTTTTACCTCTCTCTATCTTTCTCTCTTTCTCTCTTTCTCTCTCTCTCTCTCTCTCTC